GTGCCTAATATAGTATTTCTGCTAAATTATAGTATTTATTATTTTTATAGGATTTGTGCCAAACATAGTATTTCTGCTAAATTATAGTATTTCTGCTTTTTATACTATTTGTGCCTAATATAGTATTTCTGCTTTTTATAGGATTTGTGCCTAATATAGTATTTCTGCTTTTTATAGGATTTGTACCTAATATAGTATTTCTGCTTTTTATAGGATTTGTGCTTAATATAGCATTTCTGCTAAATTATAGTATTTCTGCTTTTTATAGTATTTGTGCTAAAACATAGTATTTCTACTAAATGTAGTATTTATGCTTAATCATAGTATTTCTATATATTTCTATATATTTCTGCCAGGTCCCCAGGCAGCCAATCCTCTGTGAGGACTTAGACATTCAAATTTTCAAATCAGGGCCTGCATGGTTTCCCAGCCAATCATATATGTGTCCTGAGGCATTCAAATTTGCATATTGGGGCCTTCATGGCTTCTAAGCCAGCCAATCATATCTGAGGGCTGAGGAATTCAAATCCACAAATCAGGGCCTGCACAGCTTCCCAGCCAGCCAATCATGTATGTGGGCTCCAGGTATTCAAATTTGCATATTGGGGAATTCGTGGCTTCTAAGTCAACAAGTCATCCATGTCATATATCTCTAAAAATTCATATTTTAATGATAAATTGTCAACACTTGAAGATTCCCCCATCTCTTCTGAACAAAACGGTGTAAGAATGACCGCTCTAGCCCCTATGGTTAGGAAATTATGGTCATTTGTTTGAGGGGAATCCTCACTATGTGAAATAAACTGAAAGAAGCAGGTCTATGTCTCTGTGCTGCGTGTGTAAAAAGATGCACCTGTTTTGGCGGGAAAACGTAAACAGCCTCTCTGATTGGTGGATTCAAATTCAGCAGCTCCCAGGCTGACCTAGAAACTTAGTCCTCTCTCCCTGTGTGTGTGTGTGTGTGTGTGTGTGTGTGTGTGTGTGTGTGTGTGTGTGTGTGTGTGTGTGTGTGTTTAGTGGGAGAGAGAGGACCCTGCCCTTATTTGGCAGCATGTCATTGTAGGATTTAAATTGAACATAGTTAGACTGGTTGACTGGATTAGAGCCTGTGTTTGTGTGTCCCTCTGTGCATTTGTGTTTCAATAAGTTATTACTATTCTGCTAAATCATAGTATTTCTGGTACTTTTCGGTACTTGTGCTAAATACAGTATTTCTGCTAAATCATAATATTTCTGCTTTTCATAGGATTTATGCCTAATATAGTATTTCTGCTAAATTATAGTATTTCTGCTTTTTATAGGATTTGTGCCTAACATAGTATTTCTGCTAAATTATAGTATTTCTGCTTTTTATAGGATTTGTGCTTAACATAGTATTTCTGCTAAATTATAGTATTTCTGCTTTTTATACTATTTGTTCTAAATTATAGTATTTCTGCTTTTTATAGGATTTGTGCTTAATATAGTATTTCTGCTAAATTATAGTTTTTCTTCTTTTTATAATATTTGTGCTAAAACATAGTATTTCTACTAAATGTAGTATTTATGCTTAATAATAGTATTTCTATATATTTCTGCCAGGTCCCCAGGCAGCCAATCCTCTGTGAGGACTGAGACATTCAAATTTTCAAATCAGGGCCTGCACAGTTTCCCAGCCAATCAAATAAGTGTCCTGAGGCATTCAAATTTGCATATTGGGGCCTTCGTGGCTTCTAAGCCAGCCAATCATATCTGAGGGCTGAGGAATTCAAACCCACAAATCAGGGCCTGCACGGCTTCCCAGCCAGCCAATCACATATGTGGTCTCAGGCATTCAAATTTGCATATTGGGGAATTCGTGGCTTCTAAGTCAACAAGTATATCCATGTCATATATCTCTAAAAATTCATATTTTAATATTAAATTGTCAACACTTGAAGATTCCCCCATCTCTTCTGAACAAAACGGTGTAAGAATGACCGTTCTAGCCCCTACGGTTAGGAAATTACGGTCATTTGTTTGAGGGGAGTCGTCACTATGAGAAATAGACTGCAAAAATCCTGTGCCTCTCTGTGCTGCTGTGTGTGTAAACAGATGCACCTGTTTTGGTGGGGAAAAGTGCACAGCCTCTCTGATTGGTGGATTCAAATTCACCAGCTCCCAGGATGACCTAGAAACTTACTTCTCTCTCCCTGTGTGTGTGTGTGTGTGTGTGTGTGTGTGTGTGTGTGTGTGTGTGTGTGTGTGTGTGTGTCTGTGTGACAGAGAGAGAGAGAGAGAGAGAGAGAGAGAGAGAGAGAGAAAGGCTTTTAATGGGATGATCTCATTCTAAGATTTAAATTCAATATATTTAGACTGGTTGACTGAATTGGATCTTGTGTGTGGGTCTCTCTGTGCATGTGTGTTTCCTCATGTGTACATATTTGTGATTGTGTGGCTGTAATAAATTTTTTTGCAGATTTTTGTCATTTAACAAGTATATTTGAGGGACCCTCAGCATGTTCAGCATATTTTCAGCTGTCCATTTTGCTTTTCCAATTTTTCTGTTTAACTTATTACTATTGTGCTAAATCATACTATTTCTGCTATTTTATAAGATTTGTGCTTAATATACTATTTCTGCTTTTATAGGATTTGTGCTTAATATAGTATTTCTGCTAAATGTAGTATTTATGTGAAGAAGAAGTTATTATTATTATTATTATTATTATTATTATTATTATTATTATCATCATCATTTCCATTTCAGCTTTTTACATTTTCTGTGAAAAGAGCAGAGAGATTGTCTGTGTCCACCCACAGAATATTACATTAACCCCTGACCCAGCCACACTTCGAAACTGCAGTTTGTCACCACTTGAGAGACATGGTAACACTGCTCAACAGGTCTCAGCACAGTGGACTGACCTGGTCTTTTTTGAAGCCGCTGCCTTCCTCTCTCCTGCTACCGTCTTCATGGCTTATTATATTTACTGCACTGCACTGTTCAGGCAAAGATGGCACGAATACCAAAGGAAAAGGTCACCAAATCAAGGTTGGGCAGAGGTAGCAACAGAGCTAAACAAAGCTGTGATGACGGGTTTACTGCTGTTACCTGACACGGCTTCATTAACTCACTGGTTGTGTTGTTTACTGCCGCTGGCCTCGCTCTCGGATTATCTGTTTGTGTACAAGCACTGACCTGGGGCCCGTTCTTCGTACGTCGCTTACTACATCCAAGATCAAATGACACATCCAAGATCAAATCATCGCGCTAACTCTGAGCTCGCTATTCCGGTTCCCCGAACACACCTGTTGTTGACGATTAGTATAGCTGGATGAAGTAATGTGAGATCACTGGGTGGCCCAACAGGGGCTACGCATCGATAGTAGAAACATTGATCGGCAACCCTTTGATTGGTCGGCGAAAATGTCGAAGGAGCGCGCTCGGTATTCTTCGGCAGCAGAGCAAGAACTCTTGAGTGAGGGATTTTAGGAGTTTCAGAGTCTAATTAAAACGCAAGGGAACACTGCAAAGGCTGCAAAAGCAAGGAGAGAGGGCTGGCAGAAAGTTGCTGACAAATTAAACTCGTAAGTAATTTAATAATAACAATAATAATGGAGTGGATCTATATAGCGCTCTTCAAGGCACCCAAAGCGTTTTACAATGCCACTATTCAGTCACTCTCACATTCACACACTGGTAGCTGTCACAGCTGCCCTGGGACAGAAGCCAGGCTGCCATATCGCGCCATCGGCCCCTCTGGCCAACACCAGTAGGTGGTAGGGTAGATTTATCATATCACACTATATTATCCAATATTATATTACATTATATTATATTACATTATGTTATATTATATCCCCTTTCACATTAGAGCCACAACAGGACCCACTAGAACATGGGAACAAGTAAAAGTGAAATATAAGAATATTCTACAGAATGGTAATATTGATCACTTATATTGCTTTTCGTCTCTTGGACAGAGACCCTGAAATAATCTGTTTGTTTGTTTATAACAGCAACCAAGAAAAGGGGCAGCGCAAAAAAAGACAGGTGGTGGTCCTGCACCCCCTCGTCAACAAGTTGGTTAAGTGAATAATACCCTCACGGGAAAATTGATATCTCTCTATGAGCACACTGTCGCGCTGAGCTAAAGGATCCTGTCTGTCCCGCAATATACGCTGAATTCTGAAGACTCTCCTTATCAATCTTGCACCTTCCGCAATGGGTGGCTCGCGTATACGGACAGGACATGGCTGCAACAGGCTTCCCAAATCCACCTTCGCTTTTATAGCCGTGGTCTCCCATCTTGATTACACGAAGTAAATTGCAATTACTACTCTGAAATATGAATTACATCTGTAATAATCACATACATGTAATAGAATGTTAATAGTACATTTCCCTTTTTTAGGAAATGACCTGTATGTATCTGTGTGACATCAATAAAAGGATCAAGTGCTGCATTATCTTTAGTTACATTGATGTTATTTATTTATGGTACAACAGTGGTAAAATATCGCTGTTGCTTTCGTATACATGAAGCGGAAATACCTGAGTGGCCGCGATCTAATCCTGTTTACATAAAGTAAACCTGCTCCCGAGCAGGTTTACGCTTACGGCTCTGTTGCTATGACAGCAAGTCCCGGATGGGCTTCGAAGAACCGAACGATCCAGGATCACGCGAAATCGTCAACAGTCAAATCCGGCTAACTTACTTAGCGAGGTACGAAGAACGGGCCCCTAAATGCAGGTTAGAGCCAACACAGAGCCGCAGTATAAAGACGGCAAAAAAAACTAAACAAAAACAAACAAGCTCACCAAAAAGTCCTCTGTCCCAACTCTTAGTCAGTTTACAAGTTCTCAGCTACTACAGCACACGGTCAAGCTAACCTGCACCACAATAATCAGCCTGAAAACTGTGATTTTATAGAGAGTGTTTCCCTTCACATAATCCAGGGCAAGGAATGCTTTTTATTCACCAGCAGAAAACTTTAAAAAAAATCTAAATTTCAATGCGACTATGTCCGTCTCTCACCTTGAATGCTGAGCATCTGTCCCAACTTTAATGCAGCTCCTCTGACTTTGCACAGAGTTCTGACAATGCGCTCAGCGTTGGCCTCGGACAGGAAAGGGCTCGAGTCCAGAACTGCTTTCCTGTTTTCACCTGAAGACAAAAAGAAGTATTACATTTGCATGTAGTGCATTTTGTTATGCATGTTAAGTGTTTTATCCAATCAGCAGGCCAATAAACAATAACTGTAAAAATCATACTTACTTTTCTTAATTGTGATTACATAAAACGTTTCACAGATTTCATTAAGTATTTGTATGTATTTGCTTTTTTCCATACAGACAGATTTTGCACCTGAAGTGCTTGTTTGGTCATGTGACACATATTTTGAATTGAAACTTATCCCCACATAGTTGTCTGATCTCCTCTGCTATTTTTTTTTAGCCTTTGAACATTTTTATTGAGGCTTATTTTGATAACTTGATTGATAATCTGCTCCAGAAAGATTAAAAAATTTGCACTGACCATTAAAATACACAGTGTAACAAATGTAGGCCGTGCAGAAACTAAACATCAACAAAAGTGGCCACCGTGATAGTAGTCGTAAGGTCGTCGTGCCCAATTAAACTGTCAATTCTACAAATATATATGATTGTGGGATTTGTATACGCCATACAGATGTGGGCACTCACATTTATATGAAGTAGGCAATGTTTCTGCAAAGTTTTGTCAAGACTGGTCTGTGGTCTTGTGTGCACAGTCAGGTTCACAAGCTCTTGTGTCACATTTACTGTTTTTCTTCTATGCAGCAACACAATTACTTTAAAATAAGGCAACAAGGATTTGACTGAAGGACAAACGTTTTAATTCAAGGATTTAAGAGAAATATTTCGTGCAACATTTAGGAATTATGGACAATTTTTAGAGAGTCCTTACATTTAAGCCTACCCCGTATTTGCAATGTGCAGGACTACTGTTGTGTATTTGTGACTTACTATATAAGCTATATGCAGAACACTGGCAGTGCGTAAAAACAAAAAACTAAAAAAGAAGAGTTGAGCAGTCCTGCTAGTGATGCATGTGACTAGCCTTATTAAGATAGTCATCCTTAGCATGAATGCCTATCTTGCTTTTCCAGCTTTACTGCTAGAACATGCATATCTTGGGAGTGATGTTACTCGCAGCTCCAGTATCCGACTTCTGTGGTAAATGGGACGCAGCGCTGTGGATCTGACTGTACCAATGTGTGAGGGGTGTGACTGTGTACGTGTGTCAGTAGGTCATCAGGTAGTACGCTCTGGTACATCTGAAGCTGCCTTCAGAGGCTTTAATGAAGATTACACACACACACACACACACACAGACACACACACACACACACACACAGACAGACACACACACACACACACACACACACACACACACACACACACACACACACACACACACGTTCAGTGTGTGCCTGGGATTAAAGCGCACACAAAAATAAATAGCAACAAACAGATGCATAAATGCCACAGATTTACGCCTGTACGCTCTGTTTCAGCTTAGCCTGTGTTTCAGGATTAGCAGGTTGACGAAGCAGAGCAGGGACATCTGTTTAGGGGGCAGGCTGTAAGGGAGATGGCCTAATTGAAGTGTGCAACATGTAATAACATGCAAGAGGGATTGGTGCTGAGGGCAATTCATAGGAATGCTGCTGCAAAATCTCTGCATGTTGTTACCATAAACCAAAAACAAACGCACCGTGAGGAGTCCTCACCACAACATTACTAAGATTTTTTTCTGTGTATACTACTGTTAAGAACAAGTGTCATGTAAAAAATGAATAAATATGCCAGTGTTTTAAAAGCAAACGGTGAGGTTTTCATCCATTTCTTAGCTGTAACGTGTAAATCCCGCTCACTGCTCGAGCCACTTAGGCGTGTGTGTGCGTGTACGCATTTCTGAGTGTTACCTTCTGCGCCGTTTTGTCTGATGCTCTTCTTGGCGAATTCTGCTAGAGCTCCAATACCCAAACCTACAGCCAGACCTGGTGCAAACACACAGAAAAACCAAAACACATACCAATGTATTACAACAACAAAGACCAATGCGTTTTCATCATTAACACACAAATACAACACATTTTAAAGCACTGAATGCGTCATCTGATGATGTTCTGCTGTTTTTTTTTTTAATTGATGAAAAGAACAAAACAAAGCTCACATCTACACTGACAGTAAAACACAAATCATGCAGCGTATGTATAAAAAAAAAATCCTTTTAGTAAATCAGAGTATGGACAGGCTGCGGCTTTAACGGGACCCTCACCTCTGCTCTGTCATGAGTGTAAATAACCTGACTAAACGAGGCCATCTGTTGCAACTGCTATCACTCCTATCAAAATAAAACATATGCAACAGAAAATATGACAAAAATAGAAAGCAAACAAAGCCTTTGATCGTGTCAGTATTTGGCAATGGCTGCAGTAGTAACAGTTGCATCCAAAACATGGAAATAATGTCAAAAAAAACTGAAAGCTTTTGGAAAACTCAATCATGTTAGAAATTAGAGGATTAAAAGAAAGAGTTTGCGCAAGTGGGCGGTTGTTTGTGAAGTTCCTCTGAGCTTGCTTCTAACTTACATAACTCAACGTTACATAATCAGTTAGTCAGCGGCCTCTCTGAAGCAGAGATGCAGCGGTGGACGGACAAATGGGGACGCGGTGTGCTTCAGTGTCATGTATACAAGTCAACTGAGCACTTATTCATCATTGCTTCGTGTGTGTGCGTGTATGAGTGTAACTTAACGTGTAACTTTTCCTTTCACAGTAATGTCATGTGCCTGTGTTTTGTTTCCTGGTTTAGAGAGGATTTGCAATGCACAGATTTAAACACTGAATATGAGGCAGCCGGTTACGTGACTGTACCTATATAACTGTATGATGTCAGCATGTGCAACTGTCAAGCCAAAGAGAGATCAGCATTTCCAGCAGCATCTCTGAGTGACATATTTTGTTTTCCAGACCACGCACAAGTGTCTGTCCATCATTCGATCTCAAGAAAAGCAACGTGTTTGCAAAAATGACTGCGGTGCTTATTCTCGTCAGTTTATTTGGTATTCAGAACCAAACTGCACTGTCGGCAAAACCTTTGGAAGCGGTGACTTGAAAGGCAACGGCGAGAGGAGGCCGATGCCACGCAATGAATCGGTTTGGTGCTTTTTGCCTTGTCCGACTTTGTTGCCAAATGTTGTAGGGGAGTGAAGGACGGGGTCGAGGCCAGGCTCATGCATCGCCTCCTCTTTTCAACACCTTCTAAATGTTACCGCTGTCAACATGCTGAATCATCTCAGCTCTCTACCTGTCGCGGCTCTCTGCAATTCCAACTTGTTTGGAATGAGCTGTGGCTAAATTCTGCAATGTCGACGTTCCATGCTGACTTATGTGAGGCTGTTCATGTTTCACTTCTGTCCACTTTATATTCTCGTTCACATTTCTGGCTCCGGTTTGACTCTGTGCCTCCTCCTGACAGATCCATCATCTGTCTGAGGAGAAGTTCCTAACACAAAAGCTGCCGATCAGTTCTCTTAAACTACTTCTGAGGCTAGCTGCGAGCTCTTTGCTGTGCTTGTGTGAGCATTAGAGCTTTGAGTAAGATTAGCACTGAAAAAACATCCTGTCGTGGCACAATTTGGAGGATTAGAAGAGACACTTGATATGTTTAAAGTTACTGACTGAATAATGTGAAGTATTTTTTTATGTATTAAATGTCTCGTACTATTAATGTGTGAACAGAATGTAATCCAACATATAAAAGCTGATCTCCCACAGCGCTCTCTGTTGCCTCTGAAGTGTTTATGCTTGCTGCTGAGGTCTTTTTTCAGGACCTTGCCTCTGCTCTCAATGTTCAACACTAGCAACATTAGCTAATGTTAGCTTAGAAATTGCATCCCCTAATCACCAACGTCAACAAAAAGGGTAAACTCACACTGCAACACAAACTCCACAATAAAAAACAACACAAAAACAAAGAAACAAAATAAAACACAAATGTTGCTAGCAACAAGGTTAGCAAGAAAGTCATCCAACGTCAGGCAGCTAGCCTCTAGTGTTGTAAGGTAAGTCAACAAGTAGCAGGCTGATGACTTCAGTCATTTTCTGGAAGATACACATTGAACCTTTGGCTAATGGTTAACTCACCAGCCACTTTATTAGACGCGCTCAATTGATTACTAACACAAATGTCTAATCAGTCAATAAAGTCAACGACAGCAATCAAGATGACCTGCTTAAGCTCAAACTGAGTATCAGAATCGGGAAGAATGGTGAGTTAAAACTGGGGTTTTCCCCACACAACCATCTCTAGAGTTTACAGGAAATGGTGAGAAAAAAAAAGAAAGTATGCAGAGAGCTGTAGTTCTCTGGCTGAAAATGCCTTGTTGATGTCAGAGGTCAGAGAAGAGCCAGACCGCTTTGAGCTGACAGGAAGGCAACAATAACTCAAAAAAGCACTTGCTGCCACCAAGGTATGCAGAAAAGCATCTTCGAACGCAAACCACACTGAATCTTAAAGCAGCTACGCTACAACAGTCTTAGATCACACCAGGTGCCAGTCTTGCAGCTACAAACAGAAAACTGAGTTGCAATTTACGTGGGCTCACCAAAAATTGACCAGAAGAAGACTGGAAAAACGTTGTTTGGTCTGATGAGTCTTGATTTCTGCTGCAGCACTCTGATGGTAGGGTCAGAATTTAGCGTAAACAACATGAAAACACGGATCCATTCTTGGATCTGTGCTTCCATGCATCATTAAATACCACAACCCACTTTTGGAATGGGGTGGAGCGGGATCATTCGCATCATGGACGTGCAAATCTGGAGAAACTGTGCGATTAGATCGTCTAATTCTAACCAGAATGTCTAATAAATATCTCCATCACCTTGTTGCATCTATGCCGCAAATAATTAAAACAGTTCTAAAAAATAAAAACAGGTCCAACCTCATACTGGTGAGCATAAAAAAGTGGCAAGTGAGTATATTGTAAACCAGACAGAGAATGTTAAATTTTAAAAATCAATTTTAGATTTTTTCTTTAATGTACATAACTGAACTGCATTAATTTATTCATTAAATGTGTCACAGACAATAAATGGAAAACTGTGAACGTGGTGAAATAGTAGATTAACAACAGCCGTGTGCACTACAAAGTCAAACACATTTCATTCCTTTTATGGCTGCACGATTGCAGAACTCCCTTTCAGGCTGCCGGTGTCTCGCTGTGCCAGCTTGTAGCTGCCTAACAGGGCATGTTTTTATCTCAACAGGAGCAGATTAGTTAAAGAAAAGGCTGAGGAAGCTTGACCTCATTTCTAGAGGTTTTTGTTTTGAGTGCGGCTCCAACGTCTGACAAGCATGTTACACACATTTCTCAATGTCTTGTTTCCTTCGGTTCCTTTAAGGGCTTTGTTTTTGTATTCGCTGCCATTTAGAAATGGCCTTATGTAGTCACGTGAATTTATTAGTACTGTCTTAACACCAGTGACCTCACCTAAAAAGGTAAGTGGGAGGTTAAAAGATTACAAGATTAGGTGACTAGAATTTTACCAACTCAGTTTTTATATATTATTAAGCACAAAAAAAGCTCAACAATTAGACATCATTTCACCAACACAACTAGATCTTTCAATTAATAGAGACTCACTTTGACTCCTGTGTAATCAGAAAGAACACACTCTGTTTTCAAATATTAGTTTGAATGTAGGATCCAATAAATGTCATCTGGACCATTAAAAGCTGAGGTCTAGCCACACAAAGCTTTACTTTGCTGCTGATGTATATGCAGACTTGCACGACTACAGATACAGTCAAATATTAACATCCACTGAATCATCCATGACTCAGACGCAGTGTAATGCTGTACCTCCAAAGTTGGCCAATCTGCTGATCCGGGTCACGGGCACTTTCCTCTCTCTGGCTCTCTCACTCAGCTGAAGAAGACAACGCAATGTGACTTTCCATTAAAATTTGAAACCAATAGCAGAAATTAAGCGTTTAAACGAGTAGCTTTGTGTTCAAGGAACAGGAAATGAGAAAGAGGAATTACCATCTGTTTATGTGGTTTTCCATCAGTCCCCTTGCTCTCACGAGCTTTCTCGATGTCTTCGGCCGTCAATCCCCCCATCGTGGATGGGTCCTGATGGTAGCTCCTGAACTGACTGACAGGATGCTGAAAGTAAAGCTGCCTCCACACATGTTTGTTCATTCTGTGGTTGTAGAGCTGACGTCCACTAAGATGTCTGCCACAGAGAAAGCAAAGAGAATTACCTTAATCCCCCATAACCGGCAGCAGTGATTCGTTTATGGCACAACCATTCTTACCTCACATCTTGGTGGTAGGATCTGGTGTTCCCACTGAACTGTTTGCTGGGGTCTTTGTATCCTTCAAATACTGAGTGTTTCCCACTGGCATGCTTCGCCCCTGTTGCTGCGTCATCGCTGCTTCCTGAGTGATCCACTGTGAAGTCTGCACCTTCATCCCTGAACTCTGAAGTGTTGAATGTGCTGTCATCTGGAGGAAAGTCGAAGTCGGACTCTGAGGAATAGCTTTGCTGCTGGCCGGACATTTCCTTTAGAGACAAATGCATACATTTAAAACAAAGTCAAAGTACCGTTATGACATTTATTAAAATACACAGTATTATCTGCACAAACCTGGATTTTTACCATGGCTGCCGAGATGCCTTGCTCCGCAGCTGATTGGACACTTTGGACAGCAGCGCCTATTCCTGGGGCTGGTTATACAAATACAGGAAACGTCAAGTTGTTTTCTGCTAATAATAAAGCAACTATTGTGTTAATATTTTATAAACTTCATTATGGACAATGCATCTTAGTGTTCTGGTTAAAATTAGTCAACTGAATATTGCAGAAGGCCCTTCGTTCCTGTGGCCATCCAGTTTCCTGGACCAATTCCTCCTTTTTCTTTATTAACTGTAAAACTTTCATTTCTTTTAAAACTTGAGCAACAGTTACAAAACAGCTTTAGGATGTCCTTTTACGCAAGGCTACTGTGCTGTTATTTAGAAAATTATTCCAAAGTCGTCAATCATAAAAACGATTCTGTTTGCCCTCAGTGGACAGCTTAATGCAGACACACCCCAGTGTGTCACAATCTGAGATCCACTGGTGGGAAGACTACAGCCCAATCGATTTATCGGTGGGTTGATTTTATTGTATGATACTGGCTATTTGCTGATTTATCAGTGGCGGCATTTATATTACTAAACTGAAATAAAAGTAAAGAAGAAATGGAGAAACAGCCTTCAACCATGTAATGAGTGTTGACATTACACAGTTTGCCCACCAGGGGGCTCTCTGCAATGTCCTTCAACAGCCAAATAACAACCAACTAGTCTAAGCAGAGATGGGCGGAGCATAAACGTAGTAAATAACTACACGCATTAGGGAAATCTGTTAATGTTTCATGTGCTGTTTTCATACGGATCATGCGATGACCCTGACAGGGTTAAAAACACTGCAATTAAAAAAAAAAAAAAAAAAAAGCAACAGCAAATAGAAAAACAAAAACAAGCACACAAAACACAACAGAAGTGTTCGGGGACATAATAATGTGACAGAACAGCTGAGGAAGTGACAGAAATGGACACACTTAAAAGAACAGAGGGTTCGTCAGTGCTGTGATCAAGAAAAAGATGCAGGTAATGTGTGTTTTCATTGCATGACTCATATATATAATACTGTAGACACATGTTTGCTATTAGCTTATCACTTATCCCTTCCACAGCTCTTCTGTCATGTTATCGTTTCCCCAAAAACGCTTTTTCTTCTTTCTTGTTTCTGGCAGCTCCATATTAAACACCCTTGAACATCATCTGCACATGTCCAAGCCTTGCCTTTTTAACTTTGTGTATAAACCTCTCATTTTGAGCTGCCCCTGATGTGCTCATTTCTAATTATGTCCATCCTGGTCACTCCCAATGAATGTCTTAACATTACATTACAAGTTGGGCTCCAAACCAAACAAGTACTGAAACACTAACAAAAGTTCTTTAGCTGCCTGAAAATTAGACATGCCACGTTAAAGAACACTCGCTATTTGTTATCAAGTTGTAGATAGAAGTCAGTTCAAGCACTTACAAACATTTACTTATAACTTTGTGACTTTTTACACTACAGTACAAATGAACTTCCTGTCAACACGTTTTGGCTATAAAACTGACACAATTTGAACATTTCATTTATCAGTGACAAAATGCTTGCTACAGGGATGTCAGGATTTCTGTGTTCTCATTCTGAACCCTGCTGCTGTCCAACATCTGTGTCTACTTTTGCCTCCTCAAACCATTTTCTTTTCTTCCTTTAGCTCCTGATAAACGCTGAGCTCTGGGCTCCTTATCCTATCAGCAGACTCGAGAAGGAGTCACCTTCACACAAAACACAGTCAATACAAAGCAAATGAATTGGTTTTCCTCCCAGAGGGGAGGGGATTTAACTGGGCTGTGCCTCATATCATTTGAATGAAAGTCAGTTTTGGGGTCGCTGCAAGTCCCACACGGAAATGTCTGGTTTAGTAAAGTGGGAACATGACTACCAAAGAAACAGAAAGATAAAAGCACAGGGAATATTGTTCAGAAACATACCTGTCCCACTGCGGAGGGTGTTGGTCTGAGTCTCTACGACTGCCTGGCTCAGCTTAGCCAGGCCTCGCATTAGCAACATCATATCACCTGCCATGATGGACTACAAACAGAAGACAGAAAGACAACAAAACAGAGAAAAATGTGGGGTGAATGTCATCCTTTGATTCCCCTGGAAGCTCCGACACAAAGCAGTCAGAGATTTTAATGTGTCAGTTTACCTCTTCAGGGAAGATAAAAAAAAAGACCATAGAAACAAAGAAGGCAAATGGAAAGAAATAAAACCCGTTGTCGAGTCACTGCCAACAGAAACACTCACAAACATACACAGCTGTCACATCTTGAGAGGACTTTAATACTCTGTCTAAAAATACCCATGACCTCCGATCCCTGTTTGGGCACACGGAGGCACAAGAAGGGAAGGCGAATGCTTGTAAGCTGTGAGTATGCGTGCATGTGGTCCAGGGCTGCATCTGAAAATGTCACTGGAAACAAAACGGGAGGAGAGCAAGGGATAAATCTTTCAGCTATTTTTGTGCACGAGTGAGTGTGGGAGCACGTGTTGAGTTCATGCTCGAGGCCCACCGTCATATTTTATGCCGAGCGACGGGACGACGAGGCTGGTTTTCTATGAATCTAAAAATGTCGCATCTTCCTTTCAGGAAACAACCTGGTTATCTTTACAGACTGTTAAAGCTGTTGCTATTGTGATGGCAACGCTTGAAAGCAAATCTCAAGATTGAGTTAAGACACGAATAAAACTTGGGTTTGTTTCAGGCTTATCTAAACAGCAGAGCCACCGCTGCATTCCTGCCTCTTACAGCTTGCTGCCTGTTTTTGTTACAATGTTACAGGTGCTGCTTTGTGGGCGTGACAACAGGCTCCAAAACAGCTTGGCGAGGATTTGGGCCTGTGGAGAAAGCTGCTGGGGCTGTGGCTGAAGGAATCTACGCAACATATCAATAAGCGTGTATGTGAAGCAGTGCACATACATCGCCTGAGTCAGAAGTGGGTCATCCATCCTCCTTCAGGGCTGCTCTGTTTTCAGATGGTGGATACTTTGTGACACAAGGAACCAAGAGGAAGGGGAAGAAATGAAGAGTTTGTGGAAAGACGTGATAGGATTTATTCTTTTTTTTTTTTTTAGATCAGTAATATTTGCACTGGAATAATCATGTTTGAGAAATCTGAATGCTCATTTTCCTTCACAGTGTTTAAGATTAAATTTAAAGATTAAGTTTGAAAGTTAAAATAGCTATAAAGGGTACAGCTAATTCATCTCGTTTTTAAGGTAATTTCAGTCTTTGATTTTATTGAAATACAACACTCTTTCCAATTACAAAGCTGTGCCATCTTAAACTTAACTTCCCACAATGTGCCTCTTCCAAGATCCCTTACTTGTTTATTTAGACCTAAATCTGTAAAAGACAAATCTCCTACTGTACTTAGATTCCACGGTTATAAAATCAAGATTCAGAAACACTTCAGGGGTTTTTTCTGGCTTAGAATGTGCCCTGGTCCACATTCATTACAGTGCCGTTGATTTTTCTCTGGCTGTGACTAAGATGTAATTTTATTGCCAAATGTAATCGGCTGAGCAACTTCCCATTTGCCAGAGTCGGTGTGTGGCCTGTGTGTGTGGGCCCCGAGCCCTCATCTCCAGAGGAGGGAAACCAAAAGGTATGATTTTGGTAATAGCGTACTGACTGTGTGGCAAATATGCACACCTAAGCCGCAGCTGTTGTCTGCTGCTCAAGCTGTTGTCTCACCGTTATGGAAATAGCCCAAGCAGTGTTAGTCAGCGTCTGAATCCTGCTCAGTCCACCTCATGGCTTCCTGACAGTCTACCATCACTTGCCCTTGACAAGCGTTCCTGAGCCAAGAGTGGGAAATGTTTCCCGTTAACTTTGCAGTGGCGTCACCACCGTTTATGAGGGAAACGTGAATAAACTCACGTCGTCCTGCGAGACTCCTGGAAAAGAAGAGTCTCTCCCATTTTAATAAACTGCACAATCAAAGGCAGTTCCTGCATTAAAAATAATGCAATCACAGCCAGCTGTTACACTTTTATCTGTTAGCACTTCATAGAGGCTTAGATTGACCTACCTCACTTTTATGTGTACATAATCTGACATGGTAAAATGGGAAAGCATGCTTCTCTATTTTATTAGATTTTTGGCCAAATTAATGCTATTAGTTGTATCACAAGAGACCATGAAACACATTATAATATATAACAACTAAAACTTTTAACAATAATATAACATCGAGGTGATGATGGGTACTGGGACTGACATTAAAAAAAAGGAAAAAAAAGAAACTTCTCAAAAATTATAATCGTCCATAGTAATAGATGTGTTATATGTTTTAGAGTGTTTGATTCTTGAAATGATTGCTCTAAAATGTTGTGCAGATATGAAAGTTGTACAATTACTACAGGAAACTATTAACAATAGTTTCAGTTAAAGGTTAACCGAAACTAAAACACGTACACGAGTGTCAACAATTGACTTCCGTTTATGCCAAATAAGCGAAATTTTATTTTTCCCGCAGTACCTGAAATAAACATATGCTAGTCACTAGGTGCACGCTCTTCCAAAAATGTATAAATTTGGAATTAAGCTTTAACACACGTTTTAACAGCGTAACGAGACACTACGGCCTCTCTTCTTTCAATGCAAGGGCACAACGACAGTTGTCCTTTTAAAACTCCTCCTAACTCACTTCCTCGTAGGCGACCGTGCACGAGACTTCATAACAACAAACTCGTGCCACGTTAAGGAGTTAAAACTAGCATTACGGCTGCTGCGAATAGCCTGCGCAGATTTCCAAATGTCCCGAATAAATTAGCGCTCGGTCTGCAGCTTGACAAAGTTTGTACAAGTACGGGGCAGCCATGGTCATGGCAGGCACGTCAGCACGCCGCTGCGCAGGATTTTTCACGTTCAGCTGGTTTGAGGCTGAAGCGACGAGAAGCGGACGAGGCCAACCAAAAATATACTTGACTGCGTACATAATAATTAGCAGCTAATGCACGATAGGTACTCACCAGCAGCTGTCGTGTGGGCTCTTTGCTGGTTTCCCCAAGTCTTATCAGATAAAGTGGCCCGCCTATGGAGAGTCAAAGCAGCCGATGTTTATTTGAGCTGCAGCAGCACTTTCCCGAGGATACTCTTTATCTTGGGAAACGGTGTGCTAACAGCAGGAGCTAAAGGTTATTTACTAGCCGCCCTCCTCCTCCTGCTGCTGCTGCTACTGCTGGTAGCGTTTAATCCAGTTTGTCTCCCTCTCTCTCCACCATGAGGTCAAACCATATTTACCAACTTCTCAACACCAAGAACGGTGCGATGACGTAACCCGCTCGTGTGTCGTGCAGCAATAATGAGGAACGCACACACTAAGTCGAAATTTACCACATACAAGAAGGACGTACCAGAGTCCTTCTAGACTTTGGGGGGCTGGAGGGGCGGGACATGTACAACCACCATGTTTATTTTTCGGGGGTCCTCCTGCTTTATTATCAAAAGCTATGTACTGAAGCTAAATTGACATAACTTCAGCTTTACAAGACTCTGGTTTTTCTCCTCCCTCGCTCCGTCCCGCTCTCTACTCCTATTGGTCCTCCGCCGTCTGTTGACAACACAAGCAACGGTTGTTTGACGGGAGGCGGAGTTTAAAGGCGCGTGCTGATTGGTTTATCACGGAGAAAAACAAAGTGACGGTTAGATGTGACCACCGCCTGATTTGTAGCTGAGTTTACTGATAACAAGTTTAACTTTTACAAGGCGGGGTGGCGGCGTGGATAAAAGACTAATTCCACAAAGGTGTCAGCTATATAAACAAAAATACAGCCCTCGATGGTGAAATGGGCCTGTGCTTCCCTCTACTGTTGGTAAGAGGACGGTACCTTACTGGAGCGGCCATGTTTAATTAAATAAAAAATGTTCTGATTGGACCATTACATTGAAATGTCTAGCAGAAGAAAATAACTTCGAAGCAGTCTTTACTCAAAACAACAATAACGACACAAACCCAAACAAAAACATGTACACGCACGTTTCTTTTTCAATTACAGGGATGTTATTGTTTCCCCTGCAGTTTCGATATTGGGACAGCAGAGGGCACCGCAGAGCTACACAGCTCGTGTGACTAAAGGTTTTATAAGTTGTAATCACTTTCTAGACTCAATAAATTCACTTGTCCTCTATAGTGAACATATGATATATGAGACCAGGATGTAGACAAATTAAATATTCCACCTTGCATTCCAGTGCGGAATATGGGAAATAAGCTTGCTGTGAAACTCAAGCCAGATTTTATGACACAGATACACAACAAATGCAAGGAAAGAATTTGATGTCCCAGCAGTTTTGAAAGAATTGAAAAAAGAAGACTCACAGAGGCTTGTCTTTTTCACCCCTAACCTTAATAAAAGTGGAAGGGGGGGAACCCCACATCAACCTCATCAACATCTCTGTTCAGAAGGTCCCATGAATCATTGCCTTTCTTTCCCACCAACTCCAGACGTGGCTGCTGTTGTGGACAGGTGTGATTTGAATGGCAAATTACCCTCATGCAAACACAACAATTAATGTGGTCAAAGAGAAGCTGCAGCTTGAGGTCGCTGTTGGCTTCCTGAGGATGGGCCACAGGAAAAACTATCCTTGTGCTGTCAGCTTACATACCAACCCATGCCATAGATAGGCAGATAGAGAAAGTGTCTTTTGACCTGTCTCCCTCCCCTCACCCCAATCAGTCACGATAGATAGATAGATAGATAGATAGATAGATAGATAGATAGATAGGCTTACAAAGATTAATAGAAATCACACATGAACACATTGTTCTTTCACCAAAAAATTCATTTTTCAAAGGAACAACCCAAATAAATACAGAAGCCGGCAAAGCCAGAACAATAGGATGCCTACTTACAAATGACTGTAGGTGCACAAAGGGGAGCAAAAGCAATAGTTTAGATGGTCTTAAAGGAATAGTTGCTGGCCCTTTTGGCAGCTAGTTAGCTTAGCTTAGCAAAAGGAAAAAGAACAGCTCGTCTCATCCCTGTGCAAAAACGGCAACATCTAAAACTGACAAACACACAAGTTTTATCTTAATCTTGATTGTTTAACCAAGGAACATTTTCCCCTATTTCTAGTTTTTTTGCTAAGCTACACTAGCCAACTGCTGGTAGACATTTTCACATTTAGCACACAAACAGAGAGTGGTGTCCATCTCTTCCTCAACTACATAACAACATTTCCCCACATGCCCAACTATTTCTTTAAGAAGGCACTGCATTAGGATTGTAGTCTCTTTCCTCATCTACTTTCACTGCAAACTTTAACCGAAAACCATGGCATTTTAAATTCATGGTACATTACAGAAACTGTTTAAGTATTACTTTTCATCATGAATGTGTTACATTATAAGACATTTTTCTCTTTCGTCCTCATCTGGTATGACGGTATTCCCCCTCAGGAGGACATGGCTCACTTAGTCAGATACTATAAACCTTTTTCAAGTTCAAATATAGGTTGTCAACAATGTCAGCAGTCTGCCCTACAGTTTGAGTTTTACTCATAATGCAACACAAGCTTGAGGACAAAACCCAAAAACAGTCATAAATTTCAAAATGTCATGGTATCCATTGATTTAAAACAAAGATTTAAATAGAAACAGAACAAGCTACAACTTAAGAACAAACCTTTCAAAGGGATAATAAACATGCACTCGTGAGAGGCTAAAGCACAGAAGCCCACATTTAAGACTAAGAGCAAACAACGCTTAAAAAGAACAGATTTTCACTCGTCTGACTTGGATTTGTAATATTAAGGCACTATATAGCTTAAATAAGATTGTTCATGGCTGTTAAGTGTTCAACAGGAGTCAACTAAAATAATGTTACAATAAAAAAAAAAATGGAAAAAAGTTAAAACTACATCAAACAAAATAAATCTTACTGTACAGAGTGAGAAGGCTGATAAGTGTTTGGCCACTGAAGTCAAATGAACTAAAGTTATGTTACATATGAAACAATATCCTCCGTCGCATTACTTTCTGCTGTGAGATGAATTGTTTAGCTCCACCTGATTGCCTGTTATTGCCGGATTATTGTGGATAATCCAGCAATAACTGGCAAGGCTGCCACTGAAACTTATGCGAGCAGCCTACATGATCTAAATCCTCTCTAAGGCTTCGTGTGTAACGGGTAATTCTGAAGAGTGAAGCAGATAAAAGTACTACTATTCTTTCCACACATTTTAAAACTGTGATCTGATGAGTAAAAACACTCTTAACTATGTAATTCCTACTACTTGAAAGTGTAATGAAGGGAATATTTTCAAAGGAATGGCAATGTGATGAAGTTGTGGTCAAACGTGTAAAAAGAAAATCCTGTGAGAGTGACCTTAACTGTGTTAAGACGAAAAGCAATTTATCTTAAACTACAGCCAAATCAAGGCTTTAAAGGTGAAATGTGGACATTTTTAAAGCCACTACAGTTATTATGTGATTACAGCATCTTTCAAATAACTGGGGAAAAAAAATTAAAACCTTCACCAGGGGGCGTCAATGTCAGACATTTTTAAATTCCTCACATTCCTCACACAAAAGGATAACCCTCTTTATCATATATTTATATAAATTCTTGTAGCAATAACCACAATTTAAAGGAACAAAGCCAGAAAGATTTAGGGCATAAGAATTTTCTCTGTGCTCTTGTCCAGTCTGGAAGTACTGGAAGAGAAAGTAGCATGTAACTAATGCCGCCCTTTAAGGGGAATTCGTTCAGAGCACAGAGATATGGAAAATCACCTCTAAAAAAATTAAATTGATAGATAGATCCATAATTCTTTAAAAACTGAGAATTAATTTAGTTAAAAAATGTTTTAGGGGCCTTTGTAAATATAAAATTCAATCTTTTACATAGTAACGTTTAGCAGAAAACCTCAGGTGCAACAAAGAACGTTAATGATACCGTGTTTTCTGGTTTATGAGGAACTGAGACGTTGTTAATGTCATGAGTTCCACTTGTGCTTTTTCTGTCAAATGCACTATTAAGACCTCTTAAGAAGGCGAAGACAACAAAATAGAAGACTAAACTTTTGACGTTCTGAAGGTTATGTATGGATTCGGCCATGTTTTGGTTTTTTAATAATTGTGTTTCCAACATGAGAACAAGTGTCTGTGAAAGAGTTCTTGAGGAGGTCCCCAGAAGTGTTCCCCCGAGGACTGACGAATGAGTTGAAGTGGTTGTGTGTC